TGTAGAAGAATTAAAAGAACTGTATCATGGATCATATATACAAGTTGGAAATACATTCCAAAGAAGATTTTGCAAACTGGTCATACTGTGTGCATCATGTGATATTCCCGCTGCTAGAAAGCTGGCAGGTTTTGTCAGCTTTAGAGGTCGTCGCGGATGCAATAAATGCATGAAAGATTTTCCATGTGAAGCATTTGGAAAGAAGAATGATTATTCTGGATTTGACAAAGAGAACTGGATGGAACGAGATCTAAACATTCATAAGCAGAAAGCATTTGAGCATAAACGCGCGGCCAACAAAGCGGAAAGAAGGACAATTGAACAAAGCCATGATATTCGTTATTCATGCCTGTGTGAGCTTCCGTATTTTGACAGTATACGCTTTGTCGTTATCGATCCTATGCATAACTTGCTACTTGGTACAACCAAGCGCATGCTAAAGATATGGAAAGAACAAAATCTTTTACTGGATCAAGATTTCAAAATACTTCAACAACGTGTGAATGAAATGTACTCTCCTGCTGGCATCGGTCGAATACCACTCAAAATTGCTTCGGGATTCGCAGGGTTTACGGCTGACCAATTTAAAAACTGGACCCTTATATTTTCTTCTTATGCCTTGAAAGATGTCCTACCATCAGCACATCTTCAAACATGGAAGTTATTTGTAAGAGCCTGCACAATTATATKCAAAAAAAGTATCAAAAAGAGTGATTGCRACATTRCCGAGAAACTCCTTTTGCAATTCTGCAAATCAGTACAGAGAATGTATGGCAAGGAAAGCATTACTATAAAMATGCACCTGCATTGCCATYTAACAGATTGCATTTTGGACTTTGGTCCTGTATATTCTTTTTGGTGTTTTGGTTTTGAAAGGTTCAATGGTATATTGGGATCTTATCACACTAACAAACGCCATATTGAGATACAATTAATGYGACGGTTTTTGGAAAATCAGCAAATTAGAGCATTAGACTGGCCTGCAGAACTCGAATCTATGAAGAACACGCTTTACGCAAAAGCTAAACAAAAAGGGACAATTTCAACTAGTGTAAGATTACAAGGCGATCAGTATAAGCATGCAGTTCAGCAGTATGACGTCACTGGGGATTTGAAGAATATTTCCTTTGCCCATTGTTCCTACTATTATCACTCTATCGGACGTACAAAGGCAAAATATCTGTGCGATGAAGAACTAGAAGATTTACGTGAGATGTATCAGCAACTTCACTTCGAAGGTACGATCGACATGGTTCTTCAAAATTACGAAGAATTCTATGAATTGCTATTGTGCGGAGAACTTTATGGCTCCAGTAAGTCACGGAACGCAAGATCATCAGTGATATTAGCAAGATGGCATGGTRACGCTGGTCTTGACACGTCAACCTTAGATAGACGACCAGGTAATATTTGCTGTTTGCCTGTTGTTGTTGTGTGTTTTTTTAACTACGTGAAATTACAAAGAGATTAAAAAGTATATGTGTATTATTTAAACTTTTATGCATTTAGTAGAATCAAAATATATCGGCAAGAATTATATACACATTTCACATCTCCCATCTGATCTCATTCTTCTTAGGTGAAATCCAACATTTTTTAAAGCACAAGCTGGTCATGAAGAATGGAAAAACTATAACATATATCCTGGCCTATGTGACGTGGTTCAAGCTCCACCCGCTTGCAAGAGACTACTTTGGCAAACCAATTCAAGTTTGTTATCAAGATTTTGAGCCGCCATCGTCATCTTCCTTCATTCCTGTTGGAAGAATATCCAATCGATGCGCAATTGCAAAAACAAAAAGGAATCTAAAAACAGGAAACGGCAGTGAAAGCATTGCAATAATTGTACCGATCGAAAGGCATTTTCAGATGTAGACATATTTTCCTCAATTTAAAGAAGTATTTAGCWCTATTTAGCATTCCCAAAAACAAGCTTACTTTAAAAGACAACTCACTTCAAGAGTGACGTATGCCAATAGTGTTCTGCCTGAATACATATACGTACATTTTGTTAATTAAAGATCATAGTATTCTGATCAAAAGATTTCACGTCGAACTAGTATGCAAACGTCTACGATAAGTCAGCAAACTTCACGACGCGCTCAAGCATCGAATATTTCTTCTAAATTTTAGATTTTCAAACGTTTTCAAGTATACACGATGGCTTGTTGCTATGTGGATTCCTCCCGTTGCTAGGCTTTGGTCACGTGACTCTCAGATGGCGTCCACAAGCAATCAGCCGTGCTACATACAGGAGACATGTTTAGCCGAGCAAATTTCATTATAATATAGCTTTTGTAAATCTAATTTCTGCCTAATATCATATTTTAAGGATAAATATGTAGTATTCACTGGAATAAAGCTGGAATTTAATTGAATTTATCAAGAAAACGGTTCACGAATAATATGCATTTTTACTTCCGGTTTGTTAAATTTCGATGCCAAGAAACATGCAGAGGAGGCAGAAAACGTCATTTCCTATCACTTTGAACAATAAGAACAACATTTGACTTAGGCTTCCCCCACTGAAATCTACTTTTACTGAAAAAATCGAGAATATTTGATGATTTTATGTAATTTTGACATTTGGCTCTGGTTTTCTGCTGTTTTATCTTTGTACCCATATAAAAGTTAAAGTAAAAGATGATCTCTAGTTAATATGGAACAATCCTCGCCAGTTTCCTCTGAAGAATCTAGGTAAGAAAGTGTTCTGTAAACTCGATTTTGTCACGTTGTTCGTACTAGCCGCCATCTTGGATTTCACAAGACCAACCTTGCACTGCTTTTGTCCACTTCACAGCCCTGATGCGACTCCTAAAACCTGTGGTAAAAGCCGTAAATGTAGTAGTTACTCTGGTCATCCAGGAAAATGCAACTCAAGTCGAGTAATTAACCGATTCTGGGAGAAATCACCGGTGTATAATATCAACAAGAGGGCTCAGAACTTGAACGAACAGTTCAAAGAGCTTACAACTAGAGAAGATGCTCTTTTAGAAAAAGAAGCTAGTATAGATAAAAAGGAACAGGAAATTTCGGTATTAGAAGAAGAATCAATAGAAAGATTGGCTGAAACAGGTAAAAATTTCTTGATGATTTTACTTGTCTTGATTTGTAATGCCATTATCATAATATCTGGTTTATACTGACAATGTTTTCTATTTAAAACAATATATTTTAGTTTACAAACACATCAAAGCTCATTTGATTATTCATATTATTTTTAGGAAAAGAATTGGACAAGTCACTGGAGGAGAAAGATAAATTGGACAAAGAGATAGAAGAGGCTGATGCTAAACTGAAAGAACTTGCTGCAGCATATAATCAAGTGCAAAGGCTCCTTGAACCCACAACTTCTGCAAGGATGAAAAGAACCAAAACAAGTACATCACTTGAAATGATCAATGATTACAAATCAAGTGTGAGATACAGAAGAAGAGAAGAAACCAAGAATATATTAGGATTTATACATGGGGGGCTAGAACCATCCTTATATGGAGCATGGGATTTTCTAATAAGTAATGCTCCTAATGAGCTAATTTGTAGATTAATTTCTAATTACAAAAGAGGAAAGTTTATTCAGGGAATTTTTGGTAAAGCCATACAAGATTATGAGAATTCAGAGGAAGTAGTTAAGCAGTCTGTTGCTATGAAATATCAAAATTATTTGTCAAGACGAACATATAAGCTTGTGTGCAAAACCCAGACATCCTATTTCAATAATGAGAAGGAGGTATGGTTACCACGTAATATAAAATGTTTAGGTATTGATTTAAGACTACCAAAGTTAAGTCTGTCAGATAATAATGTAGAGAAGTTTGTTAAGGGTTTAGACATTGGTCATGTTAGTCAAATTCCAGGTATACCAGGTGTTTCTAGAACAGTCACAGGCAGCGTGTTTATGATCATTGATTTACATTTACGTGTACCACACCTTGCAAGAAAGTTAACCTGGTTCAATGACAATGAGAATCATTTTGTTTTTCAGTTTTCAGATGATGGTGCTCCAGAAACAAGTCAACTGACAATGTCTATAGGTAGCATGGTTTGTTGGAATTTTGGTGATGAGGTACGTAGCAGAGATTTGCATTACCTTCTCCATTGTGTCAGTGTCGGTGAGAAAGATAACATAATGGAGAATCTCTGGAAACAACATACTGAAGAAATGAAAATGCTGGAGGGTAATGTATTGACAATTTATAACAAACAGTGTACTGTTGAGTTTCAGCCAGGAGCTGATATGTCATGGCAGAGTTGGGCTGCTAATGAGTTGAATCAGGCTGCAACCTATCCATCGCCATATGCGAATGTACATAAGGGAAATATGAGTACAATAGGGGGAAGTATTGGCAATGAACCAGGTTGTACATGGAAACCTTTTTCTATGGAAATTAGAGATTCAAATATCAAATCTCTAAATGAATTTATGGAATCTCTTCCAGATAGTAGTACTGAAAAGAACAAACACAAAAAAAAGTTAGACTACATGGCTGAGAATGGGATGAGACAGCTTGGACCACCAAGAATTGCAATATATGTAGATAGACTCAGACCAGAACCTATGCACTGTGAAATAAATGCATGGCAACATTATGTTGACCTTATTTATTTAGAAGCAGTAAGAAGAAATACATTTACTTCCTTTGTTTCTGTTTTAGAAGCTCCTGTAGGAGGTTCTCAAGGTCAAGAAGCTTCCCACAAAGAAACAAGTGCAGTCCCTGTAAGTCATAATTCAATCAATGATGATATAAACACTTGTAGTTCTGCAGGGGAGCGTGCAAGACAGCAGAAGTTATTGCAACAATCTGAAAATGATTTAAGGGACAGCCTTCAATCATTTAGTAATCAACATGCAAGCCAGGTGTCTCAGATTCAGGGATGTGGGCTAGGGTATTTGTCATCAAAGATAAAGGAACATTATAATAATGAAGGTAATAGATTCAACAAGCTTTCAATTAGACTCATAGGGAGTCAAGCTATAGCTTTAGCTCGGTATTCTTACCATTTAGTTGATACACTAGAATGTGAAAATGAAACTGCGGCACAAAAATTGCAACGTTATTCAATTGGTAAGATTGGTGAGTACTTAAGAGGCAGTCTCTGTAAAAGCGGTCCGATGAATTTCGGCTCAGAAATAGTTTTCCCTCAAATTTCTACCATGAATTGCCCTATCATAGTAAGTAATGAAAATCGACTTTGTTTTTCAAAATTCGTTAAATTAATTTTTTTTCAGCCTATTTTTACAGGTCCACCGTCTTCGCTAAATTTTCATTTTTTCACGATAGGAAATCGAACATTTTCAGAACAGCATAACTCACAAAATATAGAACGCAGGCCCTAAATATTTTTAGCCATTCTTTTAGATGTATCTGTGCACTAAATAGTAGCAAAATTTTGAATATCAAATATAAGGGAAAAATAATACACTATACGAAGCGAACCCCATTATTCGGCTTTTTGAAATCACGGCGAAGTATACTTTACAAAGTAGCTTTTATCTGCCAAGTCCAACACAGTTTGCTTAAAATTTTTAATGAATTCTACTAACCTAAGGTTGGTTAACAAGAACCCATAAAAACATTTTGCGCTTTTGAGCTATATTCTGTACAGCAGGC